CTTTACAAGAATATTTTTGATATCGATATATTTTTGGTATTGATATATTTTTTGATAAGTCATGAAGTCCAGGATCAGTCAGAAGTATCTATAATAACATGAAATCAAGTTTCATAGTCCTATCTTCTTAGTCGCCTCTCTCCCAAATCCACAGGGTTCCAGAAGAATGGCTGTTGTAATTATAGCAAATTTTATTAAGTATTGTTGTCTCAAAGCTAAGTATTTTTTCTTTTTCTCTCTTTTTTTTTTTTGATTTATCTTCTTTTTTCTTGGTGTGTACCTGAGGTTCTGTAATCTCAAAATTCGGGAACTGAAGTAATGCAAGCATGAATAAGGTATGTTCAATGAGGCTAAAGAGGAAGGAAAACAGGTTTTGCTGCTTGCAACTTGTGCAAGAGTGGTCACAGCTCGCCTGAGTTGGGTGAACTTTCTCTGCCTGTGACCAATGCTCCGTGCATCAGAGAAAAACAAAGAGTAAAAGTCCCTCAATTGTCCCTAATTTTGCAAAACTGTTTTAACAAGAGACTGTGCGAACGTGGGGTTTCTTACAGCCTTTAATCATTAACTGTTTGCTTCTTGAGTCATTGCTTGTGGCTCCTTGGGGAATAAATTGTGTCCTGGAGGCCACGTTTGAGATCTCGGTTGCCAGCCACAGCCAGCGTTTGTTTGTTTTGTCTTATTTTAAACTGTATTGTGTGTGTGTGTGTGTGTTAGTACTGATGTAGCTAGCCCCTTAGTACAGCTAGTAGCAGATCACAGTAAAGCTTGAAATAGCCTCTTGCTTAGGGTGGAGAAAAGCGCAGGGTTGTTTTGTTTTGTTGCTGTTGAGCAATGTTTCTAGTTTCCATCCAGCTCTAGCGCTGCAGTTGGCAGGCTATGCATCTGTCCTTTTGCACCCTTGTGCTCTCCTCCTCTTCAGGCAGTGGTGCTGGAGCGAAGCAAGCCCAGTCCCAAGCAGCCCTTGGTGTCCCTGGCACATGGTGGCGGAGCAGAGTGGTGCCCCTGGCTTTGGGAAGACAGTTGGATGCGCAGTAAGGAAAGGGGAAGCACAGGAAAGGCTGGAGTAACAGCGGGGTGAGACACACAGCACAGGCTTCACATCTGCATGGTGTGGGACAACAGGCTCTGTTTCCATGTGTTCTGCTCTGTGGGGCTACCTGCTGTCAAATACAAGATCAAGGACACGTTTATTGGTCCATTTGCTATTACAAAGGTGTTATTTTCTTTACGTTAGTCTACCGAGAAGAAATCTTCCTTAGGGTTAAGTTCACAGTGTCTGTCCCCTCATAAATACACGTGCCACGTGTTTATGTATGAACCATATATTTTTATTCCGTATTCCAAGGGCAGCTTGGCAGTAATTGTGGAATATTTCCCTATGAATTTTGCCAATATCATTTAAGAGGTTGAAAAACTATGAGCCTCATACGTTTTGTTGATGACTGCTTTTACTAGAAAGCCCTGACCCATTTCCTTGAGGCACGCCTAGCGCGCGCCCCGACTGCTCTGTCATGCTTTTATGTGACTGCAGTACAGAGCGAAGGAAGTGGAGGACAGTCGCTTCCTTTATTACCAATAGTGACCGGAGCTCATATTTTGGATAAATAATCCCAAACCGGAACATGCAAGATGAAGTGTTGAGTCAGGTTTGACACACGTTGGAAGTGCAAGATGCCAAAAGGCACATCGTGTGCAGCCCTTTCTCCAGCAGCAGTGCAGGGCGAGCAGGAGTGTGTGCTGGGTGGGCCTGCAACCTGCCAAAATGTCAGAAGCCCTGGGGAAAAAACTCCTTGTAACTTGCTTTGGAGACCAATTCACTGAATTAAAAAAGATATTTAAATGAATTTTTGTCTAATTTCCATCTAAATTTGTCTTCTCGCTGGCGTGTTTTACGTGTACAGAGGCCAGCTCTAGATGACGCTAGCTCTTTGCGTATTTTTGTTGAAAATCTTTGCTTCTCTGTGCGCTCGTTCCTCCCTGTGGCCCAGGCTGTGTCTGCAAGGTACGAGAGACGCTTGCAGCTCTCAAAACAGATCAGCAAAGTGGGTAACTCTTCACGTGACTGAGGATGGAGTGTGCGTGGGGGGCTCTGTGTAGAGTAAGAAATAAACCTCACTGCTGTGTGGAAAGGCCTAAATTAGGAAATATCCTTAATCTCCAGGATGCCTGGCAAAATTGTGTAGGAGCAAATTGTTTTTTCTATTGTACAGTCACAAAATCCATCTGTAACCAAGTAGGTCTGCAATTTGATTTGATAAAAGTAATTGGTGACATTAATGCCAAATACCTGAGTCACTATTACGTTTTTTTTCCTGCGCCCTCCATTTTTATCATATCATCTCTCACATTAAAGACTGCACTAATGAGTCATGTTGATTTATTTTTGTTTATCTTTTAATTGTTCATCTTTTATTGTGAAAAGAATTGGCAGACTTGTTATAAACAGTCTCCCCTTACAGTTTTCCTTACCATGTTAAGAACTATTTTAGTCATGCTTATCCTCAGTTGTGCTTTACTTATATCTGGGGTTTCTTTCCTCAGAGAGGCTGTGCAGGAAGCTCATAGCCAGTGAGATGTTGCTGCTCTGGCGGTCCTTCCTCTTGGGCATACCCTAGAAAGCTGTAGCAGTGCTGTTGGATAAATGGAAATCTTTTCTTTTCTTTTTTTTTTTTCTTTTTTTTTTCCTTCGAGCGCCTTGCCGTTTCTCTGTTTTTTAAACTGTGTATGGCCTGAAAGACCAGGAGCAAGCCAAGCACTGCGTGTTCACATCCCCGTTATTCGGGCTGGGCTCCCTCGTGCTGTTGGCCGAAGGTGCGTGGAGAAGGGGCTGTTTTGCTTTTCACACCGCGCCAGGCTCTCTTGCTCCCTGGCCCTTGTTTCCCAGCTGAGGGAACGCCTGCCGCCCTTAACTCGCCCCTTGTGCTTGTGTGTGTCTGACAGAGCTGCAGGTTACGTGGTTGCGTGTTTGTCTGCGAGCGCCTTGCCTCGTCCCGTGTGCAGGAGAGCTGGGGCCCAGGAATTCACTGCACCCCTGGAACTTAATTGCTGCACACGTTGTAATAAATGAGGCAGGGGCTTGTAGGAAGCGAGGGATCATCTCGTGACTAAGGCAGTTTGCTGATGGTCTTGGGGGTCTGGAGAGCCTTGCTCCTAGGATACTAGATAAGTAACTAGAGCCGGATTTGTCTTTGCGGGCCTAACGGCTTTCCTTAATTCCAGAGCAGCATCGTCAGTGTAGTTCAGTGCATCCTCTCCAAAGGAGCACAGAAACTGCTGGTAGGTGTGTGTAGCATCTAGACTTCCTCTGCATTGTAATGATGGATGTTTCCGTACTGGCTTTGCTTCTCGATCCACTTTGGAGACTGCAACATCTCCACAATCCCTGATGCGCCTGGGCTGGTTCTTCAAGCCTTTAGAACGTCCTATTAAGTAGGAGACAAGGTGAAATAAACTGCAGTGCAGCAAAACAATTACACGATATGCAGATAAACCTAGCATTGCTTCTGTCTTATCTGCCTGTTTACACCACTGCTCAACTGGGCTGGTAGGATTTAAATGTAAAAAGTCTTTGTAATTATTATGGGGCCATAAGTAATGGTATATTTGTGTGGCAGAGGTTTTGCTTCAAGTCTGGAAAGCTGCTTCCTTTCTCTAGCTAGACTCCTGCCCCCAGACAGTGAGCTGCCTTAAATGAAAACTGTGAACTGAAAGTATGGTAAAATCTTTCTTATGCAGATTTCCCTGGACTCTTAAAAAATAAACCCTTGCAGTTTCTAGCCTCAGGATATTGAGTCTGGCAGGTTCAAAGAAGAGACACAGCGCATTGAAATGATTGAAACTGCATGGAATTTTTATGGGCCCCACTGCACAGGATCTCTTGGGGTTTTTTGGAAGTGACTTAAATCACCCTCTTTCAAGGCTTATCCTGCCCTTTAAAAACTGGGAGGAAGGATTTCCGTGAGTCCTGGGCTCGTGTGGTGCTTTTCTCATTTCCCCTGAAGCTTCTGTTGGTGCCTGTGGTCTAACTGAATCGTAGATCAGATCCTGGCCTGCCGTTTCTGCATTTTCAGACATTCGGAAAAGACTAATACTTCTATCGATATTTTACTTTGCTAGCTGAAAATAGTTTTGAAGTATAAGGCCCCTAACGGCCCCTTCTTAAGCAGAAATCTTCAAAAAGTCATGTGTGGGTATTATTATTAGTCAAGCTGCCAGTGCTTTCTTGTTGTGCTCAGATGCAACTTTGGCAATCTACTATTTGAGAAAAAGCTTTCCATGCGCAGATATTATTAGAAGCTGCACCGAATTGCCCTAACAGCCTGGCTACCCAGGGTTGCAGCTCTGGTGCAGGCTGCTGACTGTTCCACTAGCGCTCCCTTCGACTGGGTTTGCATTTCCACCATTCAAGCCTCTTGGCAGTGTGTGCAGGACACACGCTCGTACCGTGGCCTGTGCGGAGGGAGAGGAAGTTTGTTTCTTCTGTCGTGACCATGTGTGCACCTTAATGGAGAACCAAAGTCTGGAATCCAAGAATTCGTCACTACAATAAGAAGGACTATTAACTAATCAGTGATTTTGATTATACTAGTATAATAATGTATGGAATTGTATACATTTGAAAGTAAATAACCGACTACAACTGCTTTATTGTTTTACCCTAGAGCCAATAGAAGCACTTGGATAACTGGAATTCAGGATATTTTGTTCTTGCTCCTACACTAAGGTGAAGGAAATCAGCACAAGAAATTTCTTTGCTTCAGGCAAGTAAAAAGCTGTATCTCCATATATTGAATTAACTTATCTTTTAAAAAATAACTTCTGGGAACCTTTTTAAAACAGGGCGGTGAAGTTTCTTTTTTTTTTCTTTTTATTAGGGACTGTGTTTTGAAAGGAACATAAGAATTTAATTACAGTTTCTGTTCATTACTTAGTGGTTAAAGGATCTACCATTCTAAATTCTGCTTTGGAGAACTGGGAAGCCTCATCAGTGTGGAGCTCAGTGACACAGCTGTCTTGAGCAGAACTAATTGAAACGAAGATGTCCTTCATAGACCCTTATCAACATATTGTGGTAAGCATGTTTGAATGTTCTGTGTATACTGCCTTGGATAGCTTATTCTGTAAGAAGTTATCTGCAATAAGCAGAAAGCATCAGTGTTATCATGAATTCCTTAGTATAAGTGGCTAGAGTGGCTATAAGTGGCTTGAGTGTGGCAAGAGGAAATTTCTGAAAAACTTACATAAGCAAAATTTGAAAGATATTTGGGTTATTTTTTCAAAAGCATATAATGAATTAATTAGTGTAACTGGCAGTGCATAATTGGCATATGGCAATTAGCTATGCAGAACGCAGGCTATTCCTAAGTATTATTTCAGGAGAGTAAGGTTTTAAAGGAGTTGCTTGTTCAAGGCAATTTGTCAAAGTGCTTGTATTTGATTACTTTATTGCATATAAATTTCTCATATACTGATACTCACGCTGAACTGCCAATGAAAACTTTGACATAATAATGTTATTTTTGTGTACAATTGGTATAACTTTTACAGCACAATTTTCCTGCCTAACAAGTAACTCTTTTCCATTATCACCAGGATGAATAAAGGCAAATTGGCAATTTTGGTAGATTCTGAACAAATATATGTATCAGTAATGTGTGGGCTTTTTTTTTTTGTTTTTTTTTTTTTTTTAAAGGAATAAAGAAATATTTGCCTGTAAACTCTGATACAGGTCAGTGAGATGAGCTATTCAGTGTATTACTGCCAAAGTCTCCTTGCTCCCTCCTTGCCATTTTCCCCCAGACATGTTCCTGCTACATTCTTTGTACCAGCCCTACTGCTCACCTGACCTTGGAGAGGGCCAGTTCACTTCGTCCAACTGGCAGAAAGCTCGGCCAACTTTTTTTTTTTTTTTTTTAAAGCTTAAAAAAAATAAATAAATAAAGGCAAAACTGAGTTTAGGCTGTAGTGTTCACTCCCATGTCTTTACTCAGCTGACTTGCCAAAGAACACACTGCAATTCCTGTGCAAGCTGGAATCTCGAAACAAGTTGGGTGTGTTTGTATCAACTATTTTTCATAACCAGCCTCTGTCCCCGCAGGAACGCAGTTCGTACTCACACACACCATCCTTTCGTTGTAATGGTGAACTTCTGCATTGCTAAAAATACTGTGTCCGCTTCCTTGAAACGATCTCTTATCAATTATGTGGTTTCCACCCCACGCAGTTACATCCTTTATATGACTCTGCAGCTAATATGTAAAACCCGTGTTTTACACCATAGTTTTGTGAAATCTGGAAAGACATATTTGAGTCAGTGGCTTTATTTGACAGAGTTTTGAAGCGATACACTGACTCGTTGCTTTCCTGGGTGGAATGCTTGTTTCCATACTAGAGTGGGCAAAAATGATGATTTTCTTTCATTTTTTAATACGGTATTGAAAAACTCAATTAAAAGAATTCTGCAATTGGCAAAACACTTTCTGCTAACTATTATGTATATTACAATCACCTTATTTTTGTTCGCGTTTTGTGAGAAAATTGGAAGTAAAAGAAGGTCTTGATCAAGTTACTGCAGTACAGGCAAAACTGACTGTTCAGAAAGTGTTTTTAGAGCCACCGATAAAGATTTAAAGAGAATTATTAGGTAATATGTCTTCAGTTACATTGATATTGGGGATAAACATTCAAGATTTAAAAAGTGTGTATGCAAGAGTGTCTGTCTTTAATAATAACAATAATAATATCCTGTCAGCAGAATGGACTTTATGAAAATCTGTTACTTAAAAAAAAAAAAAAAAAGAACAGGCAGATATTTTCACTTTTCCAATCCATTGCCAGCTCAAATACTTAATGTCAAGGAAGTAAAAATAATAAATACTTACTACGCAATCGATCTGTACCAGAACTTCCTGGTGTGTCTAAGTAGATCTTGTGATTGAGTTACATTTAATGGCTATGCATTCTGGACTATGAAAATTATACTTAACACATGCAAATATCTTGTGTTCTCGGTAGCCCAAAACATACATAGACAAAACCTGATCGTATGACAGCAAATTTCTGTTGAGAAGTGGGAAGATAGTGGTATTGATGTACATATGAATGAAATGATGCTTATGCCTTATGTAAAATAGAGGAAATAAGATAGGGAAATTTGCTAGGAGAAAAAAAACAGCCAAAGGCAGAAGAGGAAGGAGAGGGGCAGGAGGAGAAGTTAGAAGGGTTGGAGGTTTCTGGTGTGGGAGCAGGAGAGCCTGACTAGTGGCTCTCCTGAATATGCAGAAACCCTGTGTCAGGGTGTAGAAGGGATGCAGGCAACGATTATAGCAGGGACGACACCCGTAGAAGTCTGTATCGTGCTGAAAAAACATGTCCAGAGGTGCCACATTGAACACTCTTCATCCTTCTCTAACTCCGTGAAGAAAGAGGAAGCAAAGTGGAAGAAAATACTTAAACCCGGGTCATTTCTGAAGACAGGATTCAGGCTTTCAGATTACGAGCTTCTGAAGCTTTCAGTGTGGGTTAGGTTTTTAAAGGCATGTAGATGTTGCCCCATTCAGGGTTGCAACACTTCAGTGATTTATACACCAACTTCCAGTTTTCAGAAGTAATTAGGGAGTTGGCAATGTACAGATTTTTATCAAGATTTAAGGTGAACATAAGTCACTTCGGAAAATACAGCTTAGTCATCTAAATTAGGAAGGGCTGGATCCATAAAAGTATTTGGAGTCAGTACATTTCTTCAGGTATTTTCAGAGGATACCTGAATTACATGCAAGTTAATCTCGCTGAAAGCTGGCAAACAAATGTTTCTGGGAGTCTTGCTAGCTGCTAATGTGGGTCCTTAAGCTTCTTGATATCCTTAGGAATTGGATCCTAAGTGAGAAATAGCCTTTTTTTTTGTTTGTTTTTTAACCTCCCTCTTAGGTTGCAAGTAGTCACTTCTTCATATGAACAAAGTTTATTTGGGTATAAGTGCCTCCAAGGTATTTTTTAGTTCCTGAGAACTAAATCCAGTGCTTCCTTGTCCCAGATGTGCAACTTAATTACTGCCCCATCCTCCTCTCGTTGCTAAATGCTCCGTGCTCCCTGATTTTTGTCTTTGTGAGGACAGGCTCTTTCCTAACAGCCAAGAAGACGGGGAGGGGTGGCATGTTTGTTCTCTGGGTTGTCCCTTTTAATTATGAGGTTGGATGTGAGAAGGCAACTCCCCCAGTCTGCTGCGAAGGACGTCTGGGGCCGGGCTGCGTGGTGACACGGGCACTTCGCAGCCTGCCCGGCGCGCCAAGGCCCTGTGATTCACAAAGTTAAGGGATGACTGGAAAAAAAAAATAAAAGGGCCACCATTATTTTGATTTTACAAGCTGAAAGCTGAGGTACAGGTGCATTAGAGTGTATGATAGGCAAGCTGCCCTGGGAGGTATGTTTTCAATGCAGGGCCTCGGGTGGCCAGAGCCGGCCGCAGGGCCGTGTGCCGCGGGCTGCCCGTGGGGCTGAGCTCAAGCAGGAGGCTCTCCCGGAGCCCGGCCGCCCTCGCAGGAGCCGAGTCGGCTCCCTGGGGCCATGCCCGTGCCCAGGCGGTGTGGGCAGCCGGGCAGCCCGGGGAAGATGAGCGCTGGCGCTAAGGTAACAGCGGACGTGGGAGCGCTGTGGGGTGAGAGCCAGAGGCCTCTTCCTGTCTCCGGTTTTTAACGCTGAACAGTTTTCTCATTAGCTCTGTGCTGTGGCCCTGCCGAAGGTGTCTGTTGCTTGCCTTGTCACCTGCAGTGCTGATGCTCATAGTGGTGTTCAGTGGGACAGAAAAACTCATGGACTCTGCAGACAAAGTAAAAAAAAATATTTAAAAAGCAGTCACAGGTCTCCCCTTTGTTAGGCCCTTTTCTAGGCCCTGCCCCGTTCCTGGCTTTTCACGGGTGGGAAGTACCGGGAAGTACAAAAGCTGCAGCTTGGGGGCATCTTCCCAGCTCACTTTTCAGCTTTGCCCCACTGTTGTGGGGCTGCCTATGCCGGTAATACTGATGTGTACCAAAAGGACCTGGGGACTCTCTATGTTACTAATGATGGTCCTTACATCTGCCAGGTGCTTGTATGTGCTCCGGAACATATCCTTAGACATAATTACACCCATTTTTTATTGGAGGAGGGGAATTATAAACACAAGCACATTGTAAAACAACCTGTTTTTGTGTGTGTTTTGTGTGTATGTATGTTCTTTTTTTTTTTTTTTCCCGTACCAAGTTGTCACTGACTGACTAAATGCCTTAAAGCAAGTTCCATAGAGAGGAGGAGTGTTGCTCATTGAGATTAGAAAAAAAATAAGAGCTCGTTATGAAGAACCTGCTAAGTAGGTGTGGCTGCAGGAAAATCAAGCAACCCTAATACAAGGTCTGACCTTGCAGTAAAGCTACGGGCTGCAGTTGTGCTTTAAGATGCTCTATCCAGTATGCATTTCGCTTACGTTTTGAATTGGGGGATCTTTCTTTTCCAGTTTTTGGACAAAAAGAAACCTTCTTTGACCTCTTTTTTTTTGGTTGTGGAGCTTAATCACCTCTACCTCTCTGAATTCCAGGTGGAGCACCAGTATTCGCACGTATTCACTGTGACAGTAGAGAAAGCCACCAATGTCACGAAAGGGGCGATTGGCGATATGCGTGAGTATTTCTTTCTCTGGTTTCACATATTTCATCTCTGTTCGAGGAGGCTGTTTCCTGAGGCAGAGGGAGATGACACAATAAGCTTGTCATGCATTCACAGGTTGTGGGTTTCTTTCCTTGCTTGTTAAACCTAAGGCAATGCACTTATTTAATTGCTCACTCGCTTCAGCTCAGAAAGCAGATTTGCTGCTCCTTCTTTCCACTGGTCCAAAAAAGGTGAATGAGTTGGACGTACTTTGCCTACAAGCCAGCAGCACTTACGTTCCGTCTCCGACTTGGTTGGAAATGCTCTTCTGAGTTAGGTGAAACTGGCAATTGCTGGATCTTCAAAAGGCTATGGTTTGGTGGGAACTGTCTACGAGCAAGAAACTCAACACTCTGCTGAGTCAGTGCTCGAAAAAGAAAGAAGAAGCAAAAAAGAAAAAAAACCAAGGCAGATAAGAAGATAGATCTCATGGTGGAGCATTAATTATGTGAGACCCCACTGCTACTTCTCCTGTGAAACTTCAGAGTCTCCAGACTTTGCTGCAGAACAGGAAACCACTGTTAAGAATGACCTGTGAAAACTTCTTGTTGCCCTTAGGAGGGAAAAAGGGAGCAAAAAAAACAGCTTAAGCCAAATAATTAAAAAAAAAAAAGCTGTTTTGATTAGGGCTGTGGTGGTATCAGTCATCTCTCTGTTTCCCTGGCACTCTGTGCAGAGTGTTGCCTGATACTGCAGGTTGAGGCTAGGAGGATGAGCGTGGGGCCATGTTCCTCCCCTTCAGGGAGTGTGATATAAACATTGTTTATTTGCTGACACATTCCTGGAAGCTGCTTTCATGAAATGCAGCAGCTCCTCTAACATGTAGCTTTGCCACAGCAGGTTACTCTTTTTTGTTTAGTATCCAGTGCTATTAAATCTGCAGGTAGATGGGAGAGGCAGTGAGGTGGGGAAGAAAGGAGTGTGGAAAAGAAGGTAGGAGCACTGGGGGCTCCGCAATAGTGAAGGAGCTAAGAGGCAAAGTGGGGGTCTCGTCTGTCAGAGTTGCTCCAGTTAGTGCATTTCACAAACTGCTATGTGAGCCAAAGTTACGCTTTAATTTGCTGGTGGTGGAGGTTGTTGTGAAGGGGATGTTTTGATTTATTTTTTGCTTCTGTTCTCCTTTCCCATGTCCTCAATGAATGCCTGAGATGCCAAGAATCTCCTTAGAAATTTTCAATTCATTTAAGTTTCCTTGTACATTCACTGCCTGGATTGTAAACTGAGACTCTCTCCTTTTTGGACAGGCCTTACAGGCTGAGATGGTGCTTTATACCCCTAGAGGATGTTAAATGCTGCTTTCTGAAGAGATTTTTGTCCCCTGGTTCAGGACACAGTTGGGCTCGCTATAAGCACCGTGTGTGTGCACAATGCCTTGCAGCTGCTTTACTCGTTTTACAGGTTTGCCCTTCTTTCCCATGACTGGTAACTTTTTAGAGTATATGTGATGGATTTGGCGAGATCTAAGTTCAGTCAGTCATGGAAATGCCTATATATGTGTTACCTGCTGCATGTTTGATGCTCCTGAGGTCCACCTCTGCTCAAGGAGCTATAAATGAGGTCTAGTGTGCAATCTTCTAACTCTGCTCGTGGCCGGGCATGGAGGTCCTGACATCTTGTCCCTAACAGAAAGCATGTCATGGTTGTCACACATTGCTGTCTCTTCAAGCCTTGGTCAGGGAACCATACTGTGTTTCAAGGTGTTTTTTTCTCCCCCTCCACACTTGAGTTTGTCATTAGTGAAGAGCAAAAATGCTTGTGTCACCCCTAAAATCAGGTGATAGCTACATGCCACCTTGTAACATCCACAGGCTGTGTTTTCTTGTGTGAACAGGTCATGCACAACACTGCTGATTCAGGAGATACTCGTACTTTCCTGGCGGATCTGGATGCCTGAAACAACAGGGAAAGTTGGAGCTAGAATAGCTTCCAGCCCTCTCTCTGTTTTGTTTGGCTGAGATTTCCCATTGTCTCTGTAAGCTCTGAAATCTTGCAGAGTGATCTGAGACCAGCAAACAAATGACCTATGCTGTTAAAAAGTTCTGAGAGTTTCTTCTCAAAGGCAGACTGCTGCCTTTTCAGAAGTTCATTCAAGTCCTCTGTTTCAGATGTTGGTTCATTTGCTATTGCCTTCATGGAGGAGCAGATCCTTTACTGATGTCCCTTGCTTTAAATTCATTGCCTCCCTTTCGAGGTGTCTTTCCCCCTCTAGATTTTGCTGTTCTAACAACATGCAGTCAGCACAGTTCTGTCTTTACAAAACGTGACAAACACAGAATCCACATCTGCTGTGTGCTGAAAGAGGGAGCTTGCAAACTTCGGTTCTTTTTCAACTGAATCTATTCCAGATTTTTAAGGGGCTTAGTTGGAAATTGGACCAAACGAAACATTGAAAAATCCATTCTATGTTTTTAAGACCTACTCTTTTTTTTTTAAGCATAGTGGTTTTTCAAAACAATATGTAGCTTCTACAGAGGAAACCAGTTGTATTATTCTGTTCTTAGGGATCCATAATCTTCCCTAATCATGTTTTATATTCATTTTCAGCTTTTATATGTTTGTCTACTTTCCGTGTTACAATCCTCTACAGGTTAATGCTGGGGCATTGTAGGGGAAAGATTCGCTTTA